TGTCGCCAAGCGCGCTGAGGTTGCCCACTTGGATGAGGACGTCGCTAAGCGCGCTGAGGCTGCCCACTTGGACGAGGATGTTGCCAAGCGCGCTGAGGTTGCCCACTTGGATGAGGACGTTGCCAAGCGCGCTGAGGTTGCCCACTTGGATGAGGACGTCGCTAAGCGTGCTGAGGTTGCCCACTTGAACGAGGATGTTGCCAAGCGCGTTTAACGGAGACCCTCGAGCAATCTGTGAAGCATAAGGATGGAAGTCATGTCGATTATGCGAATGGTCACGGCGTTGGAATTTGGATTGAAAGTGAGCAATCCTGCGTTGGGGCATTTCATGGCAACAAATCCGATCTTCTCAGGAATGGCCAATATTTTGACAATTCGTAAACACAGAAGGTTCATAATCTCTGTACCATCGCGACAGTGGAGGTGGTGTTTAGGTTGAGTCGGATTTCCTTATGTAGTTGCTAATTTACCTCTGCCACCTATATAAAGGTAGTGGTGAATTTATCAACACCACAGTCTTTACCGATACCGTCTACCACCTTCACCTCTATAAAATAAAACTCCTTCGGAGACTCAAAGTCTCGGGGCTTCGTTGGCAAAGCCCAAGACACAGAAAGCGGGATTTGCACAGTGATCTTTAGTCATGATTGAGTTGGCTGTGGATACAATTGCCATACTAATTTCCTCTCAACTTTCCTCCTAACCGCTTAATGTGGAAAAGATCTTCCACATCCAAAGGGCGACTTTGAAGAGCATGCACGGTGCTTTGGTGGTGAACGAGCAGCATCAAGTGAGCACTTCTGAACACATGTATTTGTCAAAATGTAGCTGGATATATTTGACCATCCAACCTGTGTTGGACATGATCAACTCAACTAAAAGCGCAAATATTACTGATACCTACCATGTCTTTTCACAATACCGCCACTACTGATCAACCTAAGGCCACATACCTCCGGACTAATGTATACGGAGCCAAACCTATTCATCGCAATTGAGAGTGCACAGCCCTATTCATGTCTATATGAAATAAATGCTTCAGTAACCATATCATCTCCAAATCCATCCCAGCTGTGAGTTTGGTGGCGACTAATTGCTATCGGTGATCCATCGCTCAACCATCGGATCTTGGCAGGTAACTAGACCCTTTGTTCGACTGTTACATCTAGCACTATGTCGAATGTTGGCTGTGTAAGTGATATCTGCAGGTTTTGCTCTACTTGTCCAACCCTCCACCTGGGCTATTTGACTTGTTGACACTCCAGCTTTTTTGTGATGATGGAAAAGTTCCGGATTGACTGACACGCAACGCAGATGGCCCTTTTTGCAGTACTCATACAGCCCAGCAGTGATGGTTTGAGTTTTTCCTCCGACTGCCAGCTGATAGATCGTAGATGCGCCATTGTATGTCAAGGCGTATGCATACGTACAGATTGGGGCGTAGGTGTGATGGACAACCCGCAATTGAGGAGGGAAGTAGCCATATGATCCATCGTATTTCCTGTAAATTGGGGATTCGGGTAACGATTCATCAATTTGTGACAGAACATGTCCTGATGATGGCAGTGCCTCGCCGCAGTGGCCGAGCCAGAGAAGGTCCCAGTTGCTGCCGTACGGTGAATCGCTGAGACTTGTCGAGTTTGTGACATTGCGAATCATGGGGGCAACTAAAGATAACTGGTCTTTGATTGCAACGTCCCAATCGACATCATCTTCCATTACGAGGCTTGTAGCCCAACCGCGTGAGAGAATCTCACGGATGACGTTCAAGTGGCCCAACCAACACTTGGCCAAACCGCGGCCATTTGGACTGGGCTTCTTGGTATCCGGATCAAGAGCGGCACTCCGGAAGATGTCCACTTCACCATTTGTCCATTCTGGCTGTGCGGGAACCTCTACGTCGATTCCAGTCAGGTTTGCAGCTTCAACAAGTCCATCAAGCCGCCATGAGGGCCCGGTGGAGACAACCACGACTTTCTGAAACTGCCATATCATTGATTTAGATAACATACTAGGCAGCGCGGAGGGTGATTTGGGAGACTTACCCCCAGGGACCGATTTCCGCAACTAGAGTAGTCTTTACTTCCACTTGGGGGGCTATCTGTGCTTGCGCGGGGGTATTGCAGGCGCAGGGACAGAAGTAGGTACGCCGCAAGGACCAAAGGAACCAATATTCGGCGCAGCTGCCGACGCCATTTGTTTGGTTGATTTGGACTGACTTGACATCCAAAGATTGTGGTAGAATCCGTTGCCTTCATTTTTGCTTCCTGCACTTCTCATTCACGACAAGCGGGACTCGGCTCAAATCGTTGCAAAAGAAAGAAATTAATGCGGACGTCGACACGGCAAGTCGCGCTCCAGAGCATCCCCTTCTACGCTACCTATGATACAAAGTAATAATCCCCAGGACGGGCAGATCAATACCTACGAGCTAACACCTACAGGTACCTATTGCACTAGACTTGCCTTAGCATCCTTGGTGCTAATGCTTGCTTAGCACTGCCCAAAGAGGGGCGGGCCTTGCTGACCTCGGTGGCCCCACGTCGTAAGCTCGCAGCTGTGTGACGGTAACCAGACCTCCAGTACGATGCATGTATCATGGTATGTAGTATGATTTCAGAGTGGCGATGACTTTTGTCTTGGCTACCTTGTGCATGAATGAAGTCTTCGCGACGTTGAGATTATAATCCCGACTGGGGTTAGTGCTACAATCACGCCGCCCCCAGAGCAGTCTCTCACACCCAAGTATTCTCGTACTGTCACGTAATACTGTGCGATCCAAATCTTACATCAACGATTCAATCTCAGAAGTGAATTGCAAGCACACACCCCAGCTGCGGCTAGTGCAACGCCAGGTCACACGAGCTCCAGCGTGACTTCGAAATCGACTTGAAAAGTTGAAGAAAAGGGACGGCGTTGTATCAATTAAATAACTATTGCTCACGAAGAATAGAGATATATGGTGTGTCTAGTCTTGGTTTCCAAACAGAAGCTAAAAGATGACTGCGACCCAACATACAAAAGTGGACAGCAACTGGACTACTATACTTTACTGTGACCAAGCGTAAATGCTTCGCTTTATTGATTGACAAGCATCATGGAGACAGCGTTCAGAAGCATTATTCGCATTAGATTTGTCCTTGAAAAGTAGAGCATAGGGCAAAGACTCGAAGTTGTTAATGCCATTAACCTGTCACTGTCAATATCGTCTGACCAACTTGGTCTCAATACTCGTGTATATTTGCAACAAACATGACTTCCGTTATCTGGTAGCTATCATTATGAATCAATGTAGCTACTCTTACCGCTACGTTCAATGTCTGCTAGTTCTTGGACAATCTTCCGTGCACCAACAATGGCGAAACAAGCTGCTGTCAGGGTTGGATTGCACGCGTTCTGTGTTGGAATTACTCCACACCCCCCGATGAACAAGTTGTCCAGCCGCCAAATCTTGGAGTTCCTATCGACCACGGATGTTCCATCGTCTTTGGTGCCTGCGCGGGTTGTTCCGCAGATGTGTGTCGCTGCGCCCAGCGGCAAAACCTTGGGCTCACCACCCGGGAGAAAGTCCCCGATACTAAGAGCGATATTGACCATACTGCCGACAATATTGTTAAATCTTTGATGCGGTTTAATCAGACTAGCAGAAGGAAATATTCAGTGCCTACTCATCCATCATACTTTGCTGGCGTTTCAACCCTGCTTCTCCGACTCGGAATCGAATAATCGGCTGTGCAGATGTTATTAGTCAGACAAATCTACGCATGCGCGATGTATACCATAATTACTTGAGGCATGCCGAAGGCATCATTGTATCCTTCTTGGAAAGTAACATGGTTCTCGTAGCTCGGCTCGACGTATCCAAAGAAACGAATGTCGATTATGAGGCGGGGATCAATGGACGCTGGAATGCTGTTGTAGTGGAAAGGATCTCGCTGGATTTGTGTATGCCAAGGATGCTTCTCGGTTACCGGAATTGTAATCTAGAACTTGAATATTAAGAGCTTTACTATTCAACTGGAGACTGTGATCTTGTACCTGAGGTGAAGGGTCGTCGAAAGGTATGCGCAGCGGGTCGTTGGGAAATCTCTTGTACTGCTCTTGGCATCGTGGATCACTCCAAGTGCTTTCAATCAGGCTATTTTTCAAAGCAATCTGGCAAACAGCCATGGTCTGCTCAGTCAAATAGTGGCCCTATCAATGATTAGGATGAATCACTCAACAGAATCGGAAGGGACCTACAACAGCATTATATCCTGTCTCGGGGCGGATTCCGGAATTGAAGAGAATTCCATTCGTGAGAATCGCTCCGCCACAGATCACGTAAAATCGGGCTTTAGCCACAGTCACCTCATTCGTGTATAGGTCAACGAGTTCGGCTCCGATTACCTGCTGTGAAGTGTCGTCGATCAGTAGCTTACGACAGCAGTGGCGAGATTTCAGCTCAAAATTTCCACCGTGAAGATGCGGATCCGCAAGTTTACCCAAAATGCTGGCTGGTCCTGTCCATTGTACACGATCCGGGTCGAAGGGGTTTCGCTCACACGCCAAGGGCAGGTTGGCAAACTTTCGGTCCCTGTGCGCCTGAGTGAGGCTTTCCTTGACGAGTTGATGGCGTATCGAGTGGTCGAACGCCGTATCTGTGGTGCGGAATAACGCTTTCGCCTTGGCGTACAACTCGCGCCACTCCTCGTCTGTGAAGAGATCAGGCCGCTCCACATCAGGACACATCTCAGGCGTGGCGCAGCTCCAGTAGGAACCCATCCCCCCAACACCTCTGACTACTGGCGCGGCCGGTATGTTGTTGTACGGTTCCATTTGGGTATTTTCGCCATTTGGCTCTGGTTCCGCGGGACTTGGAGATGTTTAGCACACCACTCTCCACTCTCCAGGACAAAGTGCTAACCTAGTGGACAAGGCATCTGGTTCAGACAGTAATCCCAAGGCTCCCTAATTTCAACCAATTCAGTCTACAAATCGATAGAACAGGGCTGATTTGATGATACCTGAACAGTACTGTGGGCGTGAGATAAGTTAGCGTTATGTCAGCATCGATGATGAGATGCCTGGCTTCCCGACTTACCCGCAAAAACGATGCAATTCCCTCTGTGTTATAACATTGTTTTTCTTATGATCTCCAATTAATTCGGTCTCCCTTTAGTGCAGGCAAGACCGTCCATGTCAGCCTAACTTCTCGCCCAGAGAAGATTTCTCCGAATTACTCACTGCTCCCCCATTTCCACCATTCGTACCTTGATGCTCTGGTCAGCATCAGTGAGGACGCGAGCGTAAACTGCGCCAATAGGACCAGATCCGACTATCAAAACATCCGAGTCAGGAACTCCTTGGACGCGTTGGCCGTTTAGTAGGGTGGGGGCACCTAGAGCCATTATGCTGAGAAAGATTTGGAGCTGCATGCAATGCTCTGGTACGTACGGGAAAAACTATGTTCAGCCAAAAGATACTTGGGCATTCTTTTTCACATGCGACGATACTCCGATATACTTATGAAGCCCAGAGCCAAGCTATTCACATTAATTCAGAATCTGTGAATATCATTGTTGCCCTTGCATCAACCACGCTAGCCCCCAACTCTGGGCAATCAGAAATCCTGTCAGCATGCATAGGTACCTAGGTAGGCGCCAATGATGGGGGGTTCCGTCCAAATCACTCTGAACTTGCACCTTTCATTCATTATATAATCATGCATAACGACCAGGTGGAGAATTCATGTCGTGAATCACCCGATGTTCCTGTCAATCGCCAAAACACACATGTCCTGTATTAGCCTGCTTCCGGGACTGGCGGTGCCTGGCGTTACAATTACAAACACATGACAACCCCGAACCACATTCAGATGAGCCTACCACATCATACGATGAAAATTAGAAAGAGCGACAGCGCTGTCACGGATTGCAGACAGTTTGGAAATTTCAATTGATGGCTCGGAGCATTCCGTGTTTAGTTGCAATGGAGGTTAATCTACAACTGAAATAAGGCCTTCAACTGCCTCATGGTATCTTTTGGGCTTGTTACGTGATGGCCGATTGTTCTCTCGTCATGATAGAGCTCGTAATCATTCCCTCCTACATGGATCTTGTCCCCAAAGAAATGAATATCCTTGTATACCAGACCGCTTCTGTATTTTTCTGCCTCTACATGCCTCAAGCAGTAGGTCTTGTTCCACCCTGCTGGGAAAACATCGAAGCAAGCTTGCCCGCCTATCGCACACATGAGATTAAGACTCGAAAACTCGAGGCTCAAGGCTTTGATCATGGCTTTTCGAACACCATACACCTCATCATATTTCTGGAAGTCTTCCATTTCGGCATGGGTGGCTCCCTGCCCAATTGGCGAGATGTTCACATTCCCGTGACGGAATTCCACGAATGTCCCACGCTTGATAGGTATATCGAGGTCAGCGATGTACTTGAGCACCCAATTGACGAGTCTCTTGTAATTCTCTTCACCAATCTCTTTGACGAAACTACTACCCGGGAGTGGAGCGCCCAATCTAAAAGCGGTAGCCCCGTTTTCAGGGAAGCAGAAGTCAAATCTCGATATCACAGAGACGGAGGGGCTTCCGGCCTGCTGCTGCTGCTTGAGAATCGGCCCACCACTAACATAGCCAATGGTGCATTTCGTCCGGAGAAGTCGGAGGAGTGAGCGCATCTCAGGTGAGACAAGCTGTACACTGTAAGAATTTGTTTACATACAGCTTCGTTGCGACACATACTTGTTTCTCTGGGCACAAAGTGCCATCCAAATCAAATAAGCAGATTGTCTCTCTCAGAGGGCGAGCCTCAAGGGGTATGTAGGCGTCTTCTGTCTGGGTCATGGCAGCGTGGCGTTCCGGCATAGGCCATGACATGAATGGAGTTCACGATGGGGCGTACAGATCTGATATGTCAATGGTACGTTGATGGAACATTAGCTTTACAAGTTATCGTCGGTAAACTTCATTTGCGATATACACGTTGACTGTATGCCACGAAGTCCTATTTTGGCCCATCCACCTCCTACCGTGTATCAGTTGCTCAAATTCATGAACGTAAGCATGCATCGGAACAGTACAGAGTGGGAAAAAGTCTTGCCTCATGACCTGCATGTCAAGATCGGGGCCGGAAATTAATGGCAAGCAGCAGTACTAACCATGCATATGTAGGTACCTAGCAATCGCCCTATAATTACTCAAACTGTACCAGTATGAACTCCTCGTGAGGCTAGTTTCTTGAAGTATCTCGTAATGTACACATAAGTTATACTGCAGCGGCAAATAGTCAGCAGAAGTAATCAAGTAGAACGACTATATAGGGTTTGCAGAGCGGATTCATGCAGGCTGACCCAGTAAGTCAGGGGTTGGAAGCTGCCGTGGCATAATCTGCCTACCAGGAAAGTGGGGATTACCATCTCTACCGTGCCGGCGCAGATGAACGTACTGAAATGCCTCACATACACCAAGTATCAACGGTTGTTGAAGTAAAGACCGATTGACTTTAAAAGTGAAGCAAATGCTCCAGTTGGTCAACATCAATCACAGCATCCTGAGCCGCGCCGCTTCGCTTGATGTTTTGAACATTATAGTATTGTCCTTATTTCCTAGTCAGGGCAAAGACACCCGAGTACAAGATGACGACTACCATGTTGCAGACGGAGGTTCTCCACCCCGTCACCGGAATATCGACCGGAGGACGTATTTTGACTTGTCCTCCCACTCTGGATATTCCTGTCGAAGCACAGGTATCGCTGCTCCATGATAGAAGTAGCTATCAAGGCGAAGTGCCGGGACTTCGCATAAACACCGTTCCGCACCGTCAGCGTATATCGACTGCCGCTCAAATCGATTTTCGGGTCAAGCTGCTGGGCGCCCTCCGGAAGAAGTGGGAGAAGCCCGAGACAGAAGCGAGATTCCTCGAGGCAGTAAATAGGATGGAAACTGACGGCGCCGCCTTATTCGGTGGACTCATTGATCCTTCCATTTTTGGGGAACTTGTCGAGAAATATGACAAGGTACAGGAAAGAGCTGGTAACAAGGCTTTCAGTGAGCTGCCTTCCGCCTTCTTGAGAAGCATCATTGATCTGACTATTTCCAGTGCATTCTTATGTCAATCTCTCCCTTGAGCACGAGTTCATTCTAGGAGGAAGCTATGTAGAGGCATTCAGTCACCCGCTCCTGGTGGCGCTTGTTTCTTACCTTCTCGGGGGCTCCATCCGTATTGTGGACTTTCGAGGGAAAAACACGGACCCTATCTCAATCAATGCTCAGGACAACATGCTTCACGTCGATAATACTCCCTTCAAGGAGGAGTACAAGGTGCTCCTAAACTGGCGGAGGGGCGAAGTGAAAGGGCCATCTGGGCAAAACTTCACCTTCCTGCCCTGGACCCACAAAGGAAACCGCATTGTGCTCAAGGACAAGGAGGGCGCTCCATGGTCTTCAGAGAAGGACAGTGTGTTCGTCACTGACGAAGCAATTGATGGGCTGTTCGAGTTCCAGAATCAAGTGAAAGGGGCCGCTGCCGTTGTTGAAGCGAGACACTCTGAACAGCCCTTGGCCATTCTGTTTCCAGCAGGGGCACTGGTTCACCATCGCTACCGCACAGAGGATGGCGATCCAAGGAGTTGCATTATAACGGCCTTCCATTTGTCCAGCAAGCACCCTGGCCAAATTTCAGAACTGGCGCATGTTTCTGACAGGAAGAAAACACTGATCGAGTTCCTCGTTGGGTATCAGGACGAGAACTCTAATGACGAGTTTTTGGATTTGATCTCTGGCGAATCTCTACGCGTTGAAACAAAGCTAGAGGAATTGGTACAGCCGCAGCACCCGAGCACGGTCCTTGATATCGGGTCTCTTGCACTCAAAGGCGAGGCACTCGTCAAATGGCGCCAAGCTGTCATGGCTGCGCCAAATCCAATCTGGCACAGGTTGAACAATGGTCTTCGCCTATCTGAGACCGACTTCGGTGACATTGAGATGCTGACGGACAATCTCGCAGCCGTCATGGACTACGACAAGCACTGCAACCTCCAGATGGTTTTGTATGATGACGGCCGCGAGGAGATCCGTAAACCATCTCGAAAGATAGTTGGGGAGCGGAAGAAGGATAACATCAGAAGTCGCCTGAGATCTTGGACGCCTAGGATCCTGCGAGGCTCATTTAATGCCCATGATTTGATCGAGCCGAGGACGCTAAGAATTCTAAGCAATTCGATGGCTTCTCTGGCAGAAAAGGCTGCCGAGGAACATGACACAGAGCCAGCTGCTGGAAGCGGAAAGTCACCGCTGGTAGGCCAGAGGAAGACTTTGATGTCCTTCAGTCGCCTGATTCTGGATCTCGGGGAGGCTGTCGAGAGATGCGAAGGTGTAGAGTCTTTTGTTGTCACGAGTTTGTTCCTCTTCCTTGCTGCCGAGGAGATCTATTCAGAGCTCTCGGTTACGGACCAAAAGGCCGTCGAATTTGTGGTCGTGGCGTTCTTGAGAAATTACATTGCTACAGTCCTGATTGTGGAAGGAAATGTTGATTTTTGAGGAGACATAGGTCTGGTACGCGCTATGACTTTTCTCCTTAGTCATTCTTTTGATCTCCGTCAGGCTTGTTTTCCTTTTTCAGTTTGTTCCGATCACGATGACTATCCAGTAGAGATGGATGTACACACTCCTTTACAGTTTATGACTGCTCGCCGGCTACGCCGATAAGGGCGCCTATAGCTGGTATACTAGTATAAATATCTGACATAAACACTGATCTCATATTTTCAGCAATTGAAGAAGTTATGGCCTTTCTCTTTGTCTAAATCTGAGAGAAAGGTAGTGCATAAGCAACGGGCGGCATGTCTTGACAGGATTATGTGTAGCTTATGTGCCTCCACAGACTGCTTCTAGTGGACACCCCGCTTAGGGTGCATCGGTTGGATCCCTATAGTTTGGTAATGAGTCAGAACAAGTGAATAAAGTGTGTTTGCTCTCACGAGACTTACCAATCTGTGACCAGGTCTTCGTCCAAGGCGTCCATTTTAGCCATATCTTCCTCTGAAATCTCAAAGTGGCCGACCTTGACGTTGTCGACCAGGCGCTCTTTTCTTGCACTCTTGGGAAGTGGCACCAGGCCATGCTGGAGCGACCACCTGCATCGAGCATACAGAACATATCAGCTGTCCATTTCCCAAAGATTGGCTCGGAATTACCTCCCCGAAAACACACTCACCGGACCATGAGTTGGGCTGGAGTACACGAGTACTGCTTGGCAAGCGCGAGGATCGTGGGATTCTTCATGCGCATCGCCCTGGCCAAAGGGCCATAGGCTTCAACGACGATGCCATGCTTTGCACAGACGGCGCGGATCTCCTCTTGCGTGTTGAAGGGATGGACCTCGATCTGGTTGACCGAAGGCTTGATCCGTGGGTTCGAGGCCATGAGCTCCTCAATCTGGAAGTCCGGAGATTATCAGCGCTAGCCTCGCCGGTAGCACCAACACTCTGTGACGAAGGGGATTCCAGGGCCTTGCATCCGACCATGGAGCTCACGCTCCGAATCTCGAGAAAAAATAGAATGCAATGGGTAAACTCACATGCCGGACTCCAAAATTGCTCACACCACCACTCTTGACCTCACCATCCTGAATCGCATCCTCGACAGCCTTCCAACTCGTAATCCGCGCCTCAGGCCCGCCGTACGGCGAATGCAAGAGAAAGAGATCAATATACCCCAGGCCAGCAGCCTCGACACTCTTACGGATACTGCGACGAACGGTATTATACGACTCGCTGTTGCTGGCGAGCTTGGACGTGTAAAAAACGTCTTGCCGGTCCAAACCTTGGGTATTCTGCTCGGCGTCCTCGAGGAATTTCCGAATGGCCCGGCCCGCCTCGGCCTCGTTGTGGTACATTTGCGCGCTGTCAAAGCCGCGGTACCCCGCCGCCAGCGCCCACGGCACCGCGGCGAGCACCTCGCGACCCGACATCATGTACAGTCCCAACTGGATCTGCGGAATTAGGTGGCCCGAGGGGAGCTAAACAATTGGGTCAGCAAAGGATAAAGGGCAGTTCTCTCCTTTTTTGTTGAACCTTTGAGTTCTGGGTTTCCATTCCGACTCCTGGTTGCTTTCTTGGTTGCATACCTTGACCTTGCTGGCCAGCGAGAAGCTGTTGGATGCCATGTTTTCTGTTCAGTAGCTTGTTATTCTCACACGGACAAGATCATTCGTGGCTGAATACTCAATTGATAAGAATCGCTCAAGGGTGGATTTTGCCTTTGCCTATTGAGATAAGAATGAAGAGATCGGCATTCCTTGGGTGTTTACTCCGGAAAGCGGAACGATGCTGTCATGCTTACCAAAGACACCGGGGCCGGCGGAAAGTGGAGCATCGAAATGCATAGCAGTCTCCATGCCGTGACTCGACATCAAATTCAAAACGATATAACAGCAGTCAGAGTGATACAATCTCACGTCAATTCGATGATCCCGCTCCAATGCAAAAGACAACATTTTGCCGCTACCGAATTTCTGTATATATTCTTTAAGACTATTTATATTTACACTTTTTCTATCGCCCTCTAGCGTGGCCGCATTAGTGTAGTTCTAAGGGACTTTTCTCTATCAATGTGGTCGGTAACGACTGAATTTTGCGGCTTGGCCAGGGTCAAAACGCCCAACGTTTGCCGATGTTTGTTCTTTTTTTCTAACTTTATACATGTGTGATCATTTCGATCCAAATTGACAAGAGTAGTAGCATTTGCCAATATTTGCTCTTTTTTACCAAAAGATTTTGATCTATTTTCCACCGTCCATCATAGCTGCGAGCCTGGCGGCTTCCTGTCCGAACTTGGTCTTGCTTCGGATAACGTGTCCGTACTTGTAAAACATGACCAGGGAAGGTACGAAAACCAGTGCGAGGAAACCAGGGACACTGGAGGCCCAATGAATGCCTGGAAGCCAATTAGTTTCAAAACTCATTGTTTTGTCATGCCAAGGAACGTGTACATACCTAGAGAATCGTACATGGAGCTGGTGAACAGGGGGAACACGGCACCAGCAATAGATCGCAGCACGGTGCTTGCAGCCAACGCCGACGCGGCGTATCCCAGGTAGGCATCGACAATGTAGTTGGTCAGGCTCATGTAGAGCAGCACCATGCCGAAGCCAAAGAAAACGCCGGCACTGACGGAGATGAGCCAAAAGGTGGAGGGGTCATTGGTCCAAGCGAACCAAAAAAGGCCAATGGGGAGAGCGACGGAGCCCAGCATGGCGGGTGGGAGACGGGCCTCGGGTGGAACTTTGCCCTGGTACTTGTCGACCAGCTTGCCATAGCGCTTCTGGTCAAAAAGGGCGACGTAGAAGAGCGAGATGACGATACCCAGAGCAATAGCGAGGAAGGGCAACGAGGCCACACCCTGAGGCCAGCCACGAACCTGTTGAAAGACAATGGGGTAGGCAGCAAAGAGAAGGAAGAGGGTACCATGGACGACAGACAAGAAGAGACTGAGAAGAGTAACAATGGGCTCGTAGATAAGGATAACCCAAGGTCGGAGAGCGCCAACACGGAGCTGGGTTCCAATGCTCTTAGTGTCCATACCATCCACGACATGCACCTTGCCTGTAATGGCCTCCATCTTGGCGGCACGCTGCTTCAGCAGCGCAGGGGCGTAGGTCTCGGGAAACGTGAGAGTGAGGATGACCCAGACTGGAAAAGAGGCGCCAGCAATCATGACCGACAATGATCTCCAGCCAAAAGCAGCGTCGAGAAAACCACAAGCAATCGGGCCCAGCATTTGACCCATTAGACCGGCCAAGGTAAAGATACTAAGAACAAATCCTCTCTCCTGGGCCTGGAACATGTCGGCAATGACGGCGGGAGCGACTGCTTGGGTGAAGGAGCCTGCCAAACCTCCGAGCAGTCGGAAGGCGAGAACAAAGGAAATCGAAGGGGCGAGTCCAATTACACCCGACGTAATGACAAATGCGGCAAATGTCCAGACATATAGCCCGCGACGTCCGTACACCTCGCTCAATGGTGAAAGTACGAGTGCTCCGATGGCAAAGCCGAGGACGAAGAGTGAAGTCATGAGTAATGCGACGGTCTGACCGACGTTGAACTCGGTCTTGATGTCGGCCGTGCCTGTGACTTGTCAGTACATTCAAGATCTTGCAGAGAGGCACCGTGAACTAACCTTGGGAAAAGCCAGAAGAGGCAATCGAGACCATGAAGACGGCAAATGCAAGAACCATGGCATTGGTCCATTTTCTAGCCTTTGGGAAGAGCATGGGATTGGCAGGATCATTTTCGATCCATCTCACCAGATACGGGTCTTCGGGGGTGCCATAGCCTGGAAAGTCGTATTCGAGAATGTCCTTGGACACGAGGGCAGAGTCGGCCTGGTCGAGTTGCTCCTTGGTAAGAGGCTCCCTCCATCTCGCCTTCTCCTTTTCGATCTCAAAATCCTCTGACCATCGATCCGAGTTCCGACCAATCCACGAGTCTCTCTTTTCTACCTCGAAAGATCCATCCCAAAGCTGGGCGTCGTTCTGATAGTCTCGGTTGTTGATCCATGTTGCGCGGCTGGCGCGAGCATGGCCCGGCCAGACTTGTGGTACAGTTGGAGCGGAAGGGAGCAGCGAGTTGCCAACCATGTAACTCATGCGGTTGGCACGAGCTTCGGTGTCGAAGGCGCCTGTCCATCGCTTATTGATATTCTGAGTCGACAAGTGGCCCGGCCATGGTGCGCTCAGCTCAATGTCATCTCCGTATTGAGTCGGCCATATTGTCATGCGATTCGCTGCCCGCGGTGGCGAGGGACGATCGAAGGACATGACGGAAGGAAACCAAGGGCAAGTCTAAAGCTGATGAAACTAGGAGAAAATTAAAGGATAATGGAAGAAGTATACTTGTGTGTGTGTATGTACAAGTGTTGTTATATGCCAGCACAGGAAGAAATGAAGAATAAAGAAAAATCAAAACCCCGGAAAATAGTATATACCACCAAAGGGAAAGTACAGAAGCGAAGGCAAGAATGCCAAGAACGGCATACCGGAGGGCATCACGACGAGAGGGGGATGGGCAATAGATATACCACGACACTTGTTGATCTGAACATAGCTCATAAGCGTAGGGCTGGGCTACTGCACGTTCTCGCAAGCTCAGATAGACGCCGTCCTTGACTGGCAAATGGATAGGAGGTGGAAACCTACATTGAGTGATATAGATTAATACCAGGGTTGGGTAGTATGGAATGAGTGGGGAGTGGATCTTTGGTCGTCTCGTTAGTCTCCACGAGGCCTCGCTCGTGGCTTGTACACAAATTTCCGCAGCCTGCCATGCATGTGGATGAACAGTGGTTGAGTGAAACGGGCGCACGTCATATCTCGGGTCTTCTTGGCAGGGATATCTCTGTATAGTCGCTGGGATGGCATGTCTGCAGGTAATCTATGCACTGCCGGCAGCCTCCCGAAGGACTAGGTATTTGACGCCGGACGGCAGCTACCCAAGTGCCGCGACCAGACTAGCAAAGATATTCCATGATGGATGTCCATGTTCTTTCGATCGTACGTGGGAAAATAGAAAAAGGACGAAAGATTTTCATACAGTCGCGGATAGAGTTCAGACACATCGTAGATCGCGTAGATCCCGTCGTTGGTCGTAGGTGATCAAGGTGATGCACATGCATACCCGCCCTCGAGTCTTTGCCAAACGACCACGACTACCATCATTGGATGGCACCAACCCACGGGAGTCTCAGAAGACACGGCGCAACGCAATGTTTCGAGGGAGCTTTTCTTAGACCAGCTCAAGAGACAGAGAGACAGACTCGGGGTTTGGCCGAGACGCATTGAAAAGACGACGAGGGCACCGTGGCGCGCTGAGGCTAAGTCTTGAGTGGTATGTAATATGGGTCCTCCCGTGCGGACGGGAACATTGACAAGGGCCGACGTAATCAAAGCGACGCAGCGACATAATAGGACCAGGGTGAATCGAAACTAGAGATATGGTTTACAGGGTCTTTTTTTGCTTGCTGGGTCTGTTGTATGCCAACTCTTGCCTGTTGTCTGGTTGTGGGTATGAATGATGTGTGTGTGTGTCAGTAGCCAGCCATGGAGGGGACCCCCCAAACGTGGGCGTGGGCTGGAGGGTTCGACCTCCTCCCCAAGATGGTTTCCCATTACCAAGGGGAGACTTGAGAGCCACTTCGCGGGAAGCTAAGAAGGTGCCAGACTGCTAGAAGCAAAGATAGTGAGGAAATCTGTGGCCAGCGATGAACGAAGCCCTTAGTGGAAAAAAGAGCTATCAAGGAGGGACGGAAGAACATGAAACCAAAAATACATGAAACCGTTTCTTGGCGTCTTTTTGGTGACAGACCATTGGGTATCCCTTGTTGACAGGGTATCGTGAGGCTCAGCGCGAAGAATTATGTGGAGACTTGCTGCGTACGACTTTAGTGGGTCTTACAGCAGCGCGAACCGACCAGACCTCTGTTCGGACTCTGCGTGGATCACGATGGCATTGAGTCTTGATTGCTGGCATTGTTGGGACGTTTGGGCTGGCAAGAAACGACGAACGGGAGGTGGGCAGGTTTTGCGCTGCCGCTCTTTTTGCGATTTGTGCGTTGATAATTGACCGGGCGCAGAGCCGCAGATCTTCATGGGAAGACAAGCAGGCATTTTGAAAATAGCAGCAACAAGGAACGATCCCCAAATCGGCCTCAAAATAATATCCTAGGTTAGGCTGTTGCATCACCAGCCGCTCATAAATGTGATGTTGCGAGATGTTACAAAATATCCCCGAGAGGTCGATTTTCTTCTTCTCTGTTCGGTGTCGCGTCTATGATTCAGGTGTATGGGTGCGATGAAAGAGAAATGAGGATGATGCTCCATCCAGTGTCTTGATCGCATGTGGCCAATGTGCCGCATTTCCATGATAAGAAGAAGAAAAAAGCAACAGGATGAATGACGTGCGCTTATCACACATGCCATGCCATCCCATCTAATGGTCTATTCACGTCACAACAATTTTCCAGATTCGATGACATTTCTCGCACAGTCGGAAGGTGGTGGTAAAGGGGCGGTTTCGCCAAGACGGCGTAACCGTGTCGAATTAAATCAGACGAGAAAAACCGGCCATAGCGTTTTTCTTTTCCTCTCTTCTCTGTGGACATGCTCTGTCCTTGGCTTTTTGGTTTGATTCGATGACCACTTGCAAACGTACAATGGAGCAGACTTTGATCGACCATCTCCCTGGAATACCAAGGAAAATCATTGATACTCAACAGTGCTTGGTATTGCTTAATAACACGAGCAAAAAGACCCGGCGATTTGGATTTCAACGTCATGAGGCTCAAGTAAGGTAAATGGCATTCACACCTCAACTCCCAACCTTATGTTCGGGAGATGTATGGTGTATATTACCTTTGCGTGTCTAGGACTACAGGACCGAGTACATTTTCCAAGGTCGGGTCTTTTATTGGTGCTGTCTCACGACCGCGGGTAGTTTGTCCTGATTTGATCTTTGTCCATAAGCGAACGGCATTCCCAGACTCCCCCCAATTACTTAAGGTTAGGCACCATAATATATTAGTGGGGGTTGATTGCGATGCACTGGAGCTTCTGGGGCTTCTGGAGTCGCCTGGAGCTTTACTGGAACCCCCTCCATTTTTCTCCCACGATTTAGCGGATTTAGGCTAATGCTCCGCTGAGATCCGCCCAATGCCTTTAGGTAGAAGATTTATCGTTCTAGACCACACTTGGGCAATTGCATTGATCTCTTTACATACGACAGCCCCACCAATCTTCTTTCCCGTATGATTTGATGAGAATTAATAACATGATCTTGGCTCTTGTCGCCTGCAAATGAGAAAGAGATTTTCGCAAGAGCACACTGATCATTTATTTCGCCAGTAGGTACATTTCGCATCTTGGCAGAAGAATAACCTTGAACTTTGGTCACTGCTTCTTCGTATATTTTACTTAAAGCCCCGACGATCAAATTAAGAGGAGATTGTGACTAACCCATTGGTGTGGAGTTGTTGCTTCAGACGAAAAACACTGCTTGGATCAGCATGTAGCGGGCGGCACAACGCACAACTCTTAGTACCCAGCAATTGATCAATGCATCTTTGCTGCGTCAAAGTGACGACGACTGAACAAGCGTGAAGCCGGAATTATTATCGAGATTTTCCGGAGTAGCAGGTAGCAAACACCGGGCCATGCAACTAGCGGTTGTACGACGGACTTGTCAATGCAGCCACGCGGTTGCGGTTGACGCCTCCGGGGTTCAAACACCGAAAACAGCAACGCGGAATCCGGCACAGTCAGCAGTCAGCAGTCATGGTATGTCATCTTTCACTGAGTTGCGAGGATGAGCGGAGGCTGCATCGGTGTGCATTGTCGCGTTGCACAGCAGAGAGATGTGACAACCACTCCACGAGCCCCGTGAGATCGACACTGCGGGAAAAAGCAAAGAAGAAAAAAGTCATGCGACGCAGCTATTCTGTGCACCAAGAAACATGGTCTTCTTGAGACGTCGACTAAATTGCAGTCAATGAGGCCTGCAGTGTGGAAAAAGGACTGCCCGCCGCTCATGCCATTACATTTCGGACGCCAAGGCAGCATATGAGAATACCGCCCCCTCGATAATCTTGCCAACATTCTGCGCATCAGATAGCCGGGAATTTGATGTCCTATCCAGAAAGTCAAGACAGTGACAAGGGGGGAAAAGGTTTCTTCTTCGGCCATTTCTGAGCCACCAACTCCACCGAAACCTTGACTGTGTCTGCATTTGTCTCGGGTAACGACAAGTTGATCAATGAGTCAAAGTGGTGAATACAAGCTCATCCAACACGTCCACTGTAGTCGTTCATCTGTACGACTGAGCACAAATGATGAGTCTTGTTTGCGCTCATGTCTTGTCCATTACAGATTGTTTGACGTGGTTCTTATCTATGAAGATCTATCAGCTCCAGTTTTTAGTCCGTGCCACCAAGATGGTGATTGGCGGTAAGGAGTCATGAAGGAGATAAGCTCTAGCGAGGCAAGCAAGGCCAAGCCATTCAGGTAATCAATAAGAAAAGCAAACGCGCCTTGGTTTGTCTTGTTGCCACCCGTCTTTTGCACAAGGTGTCCGTTGGGGCAAGGATAAGGTATTGCCAGACATACATGAATATATTGGCCTAGCCCACAGCTCTCCAGGAGCAGACACCTCTTCTTCTCACGGCGCAACCAGACAACCAGGAACGAACATCAGCGCAACAGAATGAAATTCGGCTGCAACTTCCAGCTACGTCAGCACCCTCAATGGAAAGAAGCCTACATCAACTACAATGGTATCAAGCAAACTGTAAAACAGCATCCCAGTCTGCGCAGTCAACCTGTTTGGGACGGTAAGGCTACCAGACCGACATCCATCCCCGTCATCGAGCTCACTGACGACTACTTTGCAACCCAGGCTTTGAGGCACATCTTTCCAAGGAAATTGGCAAGGTCGATTGCTTCCTCCAAAGCCAGGTTGAACATTTGAATGATTGGGCCGATGCGATCTTGTCGCGGTTCTCCTTGCCCTCCATTTCTCCTGGTCTAGACGTGCTGACGCACGTTGCGACAACCGAGTTACGTGACCTTGGTGAATGCCTATGTGAGGTTTTGAGCTTCATCTCGCAGCTCGAATCATTTGCAAAGCTCAATCAAGATGCTGTTCAGAGATTGTTGGCCAAGTATGCAAAGTTTACTGGCCTGGGCACAGCGGGCAGCCTGGACTTTCCAGCCACCCTCATTGCGAGACCGTGGCACAGCACCGCCGAACGCCTGAGAGGCCTACTAGACTTGTCGCGTTGCGCACAAGCGTCTATTGCAGTTTCTTCCGACACCCAGTCGCTATTGTTGCGGCGAGTAAGCCCAATTGCGCTCGGCTGCACAAGCGATGTAGTCCATCGCTGCATTAGGGACGATGATCCCGCATCGTTGATGGTTGCGCTTGCTTCTCCAGTCTCCTACATGGAGAATCAGGCTATGCTGTATTCGGTTTTGCAAGTTGCGATCAATTACCGGGCCGTCATGTGCATCAGGTCTCTACTGGAAGAGATCACTGCTCCGCTTGAAGACTTGTCCTGTGGCCACCAGGACGCCCTGCACCAACTCGTGATCCAATTCTCACGATCTCAGCCCTCATTGAGTGCAATCGGGACTCTTGTGGAGATTTTCCGCGAACTGTCTCCTTACCAGCACCACATGCTGCTCGTCAAAGATTGGAGGCTTCGCACTCCTCTTCACTATGCCGCAGAGTATGGTTGGTCCAGATTGTGCAAGCAGCTTGTCAGGTTTATGGAGCCCTCGGCAGTCTTGCAGCCGGACAAGTCTGGTTTGACACCGCTTCATTTGGCTGCAGCCCATGGCCATGTATCTGTGATGAAATCACTCCTCTCATTGGAAAGCGTAAGCCTCGCGCTGTCTGAAGAAATGGCTGGTGCATTGCTGCACATCTCCATCCAAGCAAAATCTGCAGACGTAGTGGCATGTCTCTTGACATGTGGCAAAGGTATTAATGTCCAAGATAACCAGGGCCGCACGCCATTGTATGCCGCCGCTGATGGTGGTGATGCTGACATGATTCGCGCACTGCTCGACATTTCAGAAGGTTTGCATATTGACCGCACAGAAGATTCCTACGGACGTTCACCTTTGCTAGTAGCATCTGTGCGTGGTCATCATGAAATAGCTGAGCTTCTTCTTTATGCAGGCGCGGATAAAGAAATTCGAGATCATCGCGGCTGGACAGCTGTAGAACATGCATCGTACCGAGCGCACATGACTATAGTCGAAGCTCTAAAGCCACAGTTCTCACTAGACCTGAGCAGTCCTTTGACACCAAGCATCCAGGAAGCTTCTGCCAACAAATCATTCACGAGACAACGGCCGACACTGGATTACCAGGAATCAACTTCGCAGGGAGACCTTGACCACCTCACTACAGTTTATGTCAATTTAGGCTCATTCGATACCTCGTCTGGCGAGAAAATCCTAGACATGGACCCATTCATTATAGATTCAGCCATGCAGAATGGCACAGGTGGAGTGTTTCTGGAATTGTCAGCGACACAATGTCACGAGCAGCCATATATACTCAGCCTTCCTTTCGTGGGAGATATTACCGAGACGACATGGCGGTTTACCACCACAGACTCTGACAATATGAAGCTGAGATTCAAGCTTTATGAGTATGCAGACGATACTCGAGCAAGCAAGCAAATGCTGGCTGCGGGCATTGTCATGCTGAGCCACCTCAAGGGCTGGTTCCGTCCTGGTCGACAGAGCTTGAAACGCGAAAGCACGGTTGCACTGAACTCTCCCGAGGGCGAATATGCCGGAGCTATTACCTTTACGCACCTTGTCTGTTTTCCATACAAGGTTTCCGGCCGAGAAAGACCTTTACAAAAAATGTGCCAATCGAACCAAACTCAAGTCGTGGGTCATCGAGGCTTGGGATGGAATATGACTGGGCTTGGCCGAATGCAGCTGGGAGAGCATACCATTCAGTCTCTTCAGAGTTCCCTTGACCAGGGAGCCGACCTCATAGAATTTGACGTTCAGATCACACGCGACCATGTCCCTGTCATCTACCACGACTGGCAAGTTTCGGAGACGGGCCTAGACATTCCCATTCACGCAATGACATTCAAACAAGTAAGTCTAGATCAACATGGGCCACAAGAGATCTCAATGAACCTGTAACTGACAGGATCTAGTGGATGGCCATTAGCGAGTCGCAGAGCAATTCTACGCATGACCACCCAGGGGGCCGGTTGCCGTGGGATGAGAGAGCCCGACCGAAGGAACTCCACCGACAGCGCTCGAGGTCCTTGTGTGCGCATCCCGACCATCCCCGCAAAGCCATGGCGGAGCGCATGAAGCATACTGTGGAATATGCCAGGAACCACAACAAGGGAAATATTCGCGGCGAATGCATCCACGACGCCTTTACGACTCTCCGGGAGCTCTTCCAAAAGTTCCCAGACGATGTACATTTCGACATTGAATTGAGTGAGTGAAGCCCGCTACTGCACACAAGACCACTTCTAATGACGTCGATTTAGAGTATCCCATGCTTTGGGAGTGCCCCTACTGGGAAATGGAACCTTACTGGACCGAGATGAACGAATACCTAGACACGACGCTCGATGTCATCTTTGAGCTCGCCGGCAACCGCTCCATCTTCTTCACCTGCTTCAACCCCGAGGTGTGCATCTTGCTCCGCACCAAGCAGAAAATCTATCCCGTGGTGTTTCTCAACGACTCCATGGTCAGCGGGCCGGCCGGCGACCTGCGCGCCATTTCGCTCCAGCACGCCATGCGGTTCGCGCGCCAGTGGGGGATCCAGGGTATCGTCATGGCAGCTGAGCCCTTTGTCGCGGCGCCCAAGCTGATCAAGCATGTGCGCGACCAAGGTCTGGTCTGTGGTTCGTATGGGTCGTTGAATGATATTCCAAGCTTTGCCGAGGTATGTTGGCTATACTTTCTCTTAAATGCTGTGCTGCTCCGTCCCTTGGTTTTGCTGCTTACTGACTCTTGATTATAGAAACAAGCGGCCGAGGGCATAGACATGCTCATTGTGAACAATATTCGCCTCATCTCTAGTACCCTCCGTAGTATGAAGTGAAAGGTTCCGAAGAGTCGGATATTTTCGGCTGCAATTGAAGAGGCTCTGACTGCATGATAGTCCTTATCCATGGGTGACACGGGAAAACAGGATCTGACGGTAATGATGCCGGATCCTTGTACCTGGAGAGAAATTTCAGGGTAGTCTAGGCAAAGCTCAACCTCCGCAATAGCCGGATATTGTCATGGCAAATATCAGCGTCGCATGAACTGCTCCACCATGGCTCCAAGTTTTATGCTCGCTCCAACTCCATATTGTGCAAGATTTCTGGGTCCGTTGCTTAGGTACATTGCAGGAGCGAAATTTGAAATGTATCAGCGGTGATAAGTACATGATGCCAGGCTCAAGTTCGAAGCATGTATGACTTGTGCCGCAGATATGGAGGGCCGTTTTTTCTTTTCTCTTAGAGCCGAAGAAATAAAGCTCTTAAGAATCTCACGATATCTTCCAAGTTCTGCCGCACTGCCACACATGCATAACACGTGACAGCCGGCCTCTTCCCTCATGCCAAATACAGACGCAGATCCATCTTTCTGCGGTCTTCTGTGTTACCTTACCCCTCACTTCCAGTACAAGATGTAAGCAGAGTCAGCTATCACCGGAAGATTGATCATCGTACCGCGAAACTTCATGTCTGTTGGTTTTCTTCATCATCATCTTCGTGAAAAGAGGACCTGATCTGGCGAAGACCATTGCAACGCTCCACCCACTTGTGAAAGAAGTAAAGTTCACCATGGTAAATCCAACGTATGTGTGGTCCACGAGAGATCTTACGCAAACGTCACTAATGCAATCTATGCAGGAAGAAGGCCCCCGGAAAACCAACCGAAGCCGATGGAGCATCGCCACCGTCCTTCGATGCTGATGTGTGGACTTCTTTGGAGGCCAAGATGACCAAGGAGCTCGACGCATATGTTACAAAATCATTCAATCAGCTGAATAATAAGTCAATCAACAACAAAGCGGAACGGGCCATTCACATTGCTTCGAAGGAGGGACATTTACTTCTTCTTGATTCGCTTTTGCGACACGGTGTCAAGACAGATGTGACCAATGTTGACAATCAGACACCATTGCATCTTGCCATTGAGAATGGACAAGAGAAAGTGGCGATCAAGTTGATTGAGAAACGACAAATCTCTCTCTCGATTACGGACAAGAAAGGCAGATCGCCCCTTCATGTTGCCGTTCAGAAAGGACAAGAGAATGTGGCGATTAAGCTGGTCAAGGCATCACCATCCTTGCTGCCCTTGGCAGACATGGAGAACAGTCTGCCGCTACACTACGCCACATTGAAGTACCTTCCAAACGCAGTCAAGGAGATTCTTAACCAATCTGGCGACAAAAACGTGGATCATCGAGACAAGTCTGGTGAGACACCGCTGACGCTGGCTTTGAAATCACTAGCCAAAGATTCGGAGACAGAAGAGAAGACGAAGATGATGATCATCAAACTATTGGTGGGACATGGCGCAGATCTAACACAAAGACTTTATTGGTCTAAGCAAGATTCCCTGCCGGTGCTTCACCATTTGGTGCGCCAGGGCAGGAGAGATGTCCTGCGTGAGGTGAAGACTCCGTGGGAGGTGATTATCAACATGAGATATGAACCGCAAGCCGGCACCCTTGGTTCACGGTCGAGTACGCAACAGATTCCGTTCGGCGCAACGCCACTCTACGTTGCTGCAACAGCTGGCAGCCTCAAATCGGTCAAATTCCTCCTTGAGAAAGGAGCCGACCCGAATATCGGATTGTCAACTGGCTCTTCTAACGAGCCTCCCACACCATTATGGGTTGCGTTGAACAAAAGTCACACTGATGTTGCCAAAGCACTGTTGAAGCATGATGCGAAAATAGACGTCGAATGGCAAGGTTCCCACATGCTCCACTTCGCCATTGAGAAAACTTCAGCACAATGCAGAACTGAAGTTGTGAAACTTTTACTTTCACACAATGCCAACCTTCATCAAAAGGACAGCAGCAAAAGGATACCATTGATATTTGCTGCCGAGAAAGGCTGCATCTCTTCTCTCAACGCACTGTGGGATGCACACGCAAAGCTGGAACTCCCTGAGACTCATGCTATGGATGCTTTGAAGGCGATATGCCGGGAGGGACACCACTGTTGTGTAGCTCTGCTTTATGCAAAGGGGGCTGACATCAATACCCAAGACGAACATGGCTATACACCATTGCACTATGCTGCTAGCTATAACCGTACTGATGTTATCAACGTCTTGTTGTCCATGGGTGCAGATCGTACTGTTAAGGCTCAAACGAGACAAGAACCTTTCGAGGTGGCTGGGACGGCCGAGGCTGTAGCGAGGGCATCTGGGCACGTTGATACGGCTGGGCTGATCAAGAACTGGGGGCAATGAGATTTCTTACTGATAGATGGAACAGTCTTATTCTGATGCGCCGCAGCGTGGCTGTGTTGTGTGCCACCCTTCGGGCGACACAACGGGAAGAGTTACTAAGTCTGTTTTTTCATACATTATTTTCGTAAATGCACACCATCTTTATTTTGACTATTTATTTTGGGTACAGGTCGTACGTATTCAATCTCTTGAAAAATGGAACCGTAATCAAGGCGCTTATATGAGTGTCACGACTTGCCATGTGCTATACAATTGTGGCTGTGCGAGGATCACATCCAAATGGGACACTACTGAGAGTTGAAACTATGTATCGTCCTCACGATATTGATTTAGAGCAAGCGGATATTACGTTGGTAATTCCAGCTTAGTGTCAAAAAAAGCTGATTGTGTGTTTACAATCCAATTGCCGCCTTTGCCTTCACGCTTTCGAGATGGAGCAATGAATGGAGAGTTTCAATGCATTTATAGGATGTTTTGAAATGCTCATCAGATGTATAGAGTCTGCTATAACAAAGATATAAGAAATGAAAATCATATACCATCAAAATGAGGCCACATGTACGCAAAATTACTTCGGTAGTTGGCTAATACCGATACACCGGCGACCCCACTCCGACGGGCAGCCCGTGGTCTAAATTTTCTTGTCCTGCAATGAATGCTATTTTCAGCTCCACCAAACAGTCACTTTACGCCAGCATTCTGACTAAGCGGAAAAGCACTGTCTAAATTCTTCAGCCACTGTTTGCTTTATCCTTGGCCAACTCTGGTGATAGAGTGAGGCATACGAAGATTTGTATGCTCGACTTCAGCCTGTGAGATGGAATCGACGCGCGTCTAAAATTCGGGCCGCTGGTCGAAAACCATGAAGCTCTGATTGAAGATTGAACGGCACCACGACATACCGACCTCAGGGCCAGCTGAGAGCGCGAAATCTAACGATGATTAAAGTATACGTAGAACGAAATGATCTGATTGGCTGCATATGCCGAAAAGACAAGCCCAAAGCGGCGCAAGTGCGGATCATTACCGCTTAATAAGCGGACTTGCTAGTCATGGAACCCCTGATCAACGGATGGTCGTTCATCAGTAGTGCAATTCCAGCACCAATTCGACCGACTCTAGAGATGACCGCATGGCTCAATATCAATCTCAAGACACAAACACGACCGGTGGCTGAGGCTCGCTCACGGAATGAAGCTGCGTTCGCATCCCGCCCTTGGACCCGACGCCGGGTCGAGGTCGAGTATATTTGATCTCGACTTCAGCCGGTAGAGAGCATTCATCTTTATTGACATTCTCATCAATTCCCCTTTCAAATCATAGAACAGCGTCAAACATCTCATCCAAACAGGTTCGAACTGTTTTCATCACAAGCTCCATCAAAGAAACAGCAACATGACCACCGCGTTCAAGGTGATCGTCGTGGGTGCAGGACCAGCTGGTCTCTCGCTCGCCCACGCCCTTAGCTTGGCCAAGATTGATTTCGTCGTGCTGGAGCGGAGAGAGACAGTTTCCATGGACTCTGGGGCCAGTCTGGTGCTCGCCCCGACGACGCTGCGAGTCATGGAGCAATTTGGTCTTCTCGACAAGCTTCTGGCCCTGGGCGGCGAACTCAAATCCAACAAGACTCTCGATGTCAGGGGCAATGAACTTGGACACTCGGAAGCTGTGCAACTGATGAGGAAAAAGTAAGCAAATCCCTAGATTCAAAATCGATGCGCTGGAGCAAGATGTACTTACACGGGTTCTCAATAGCCATGGAACAGCACCCATTGCTTTTCACCGCGCACACCTGATAGACGCCATCCATGATGGTCTTTCCGCAGAAGCAAAATCCAAGATCATCACAGGAAAACGAATCAGTGACATCATTTCCGACGACAATGGCGCCGTGGTGCACTGCGAGGACGGGACCTCGTACGAAGGTGACATTGTCATTGGCGCCGACGGCGTGCACAGCCAAGTCCGCCGCATCATGCGGAAAATGGCCGTCGCAGGAGGCCGGGAGGCGGACTGGGACCCTGAGGTTCCCTACACTAGCGAGTACCGGTGTCTCTGGTGCAGTTTCCCCCACCCGGACAGCGGCTTGGGCTACGATACCCAGGATCGCGACCGCTCCGTCATGTACCTGGGCGGCGTCGAGCGGTCCTGGATCTTTCTCTACGAGCGCCTGCCCCAGAAAACCCGGGAGCGCGCTTCCTACTCGGACCGCGACGTGGACGACATGGCGGCCCGTTTCGCCGAGTACCCCGTGACGGAGAAGCTCAAGGTCAAGGACTGCTACGCCATGAAGATCACGGCGGGCATGTCCAATCTCGAGGAGGGCATCCTCAAGCACTGGTCCTACGGCCGCATCGCGCTCGTGGGCGACGCCTGTCACAAGTTCACACCCAACGCCGGCCTGGGCTTCAACAATGGCATGCAGGACCTGGTGGCCCTGTGCAACGGCATCTACAAGGGTGTCCAAGCGTCGCCCAACGACAGCAAACTGGACATGCCGACTGTGCACTCCATCTTTGCCAGTTATCAGGCCGCGCGCAAGAGCGAGATCCAGGCCCAGTTTGCCCAGTCTACGCACACCACGCGCATGCAGGCCTGGTCGAGTCCTCCTCACTACCTCATGGCTCGCATCATGGGCAAGGACTTTGTCCAGAAAATACTGCTGAATTATGTAGCATCTCGCGCGATAAGCAAGTCTCTGATCCTGGAATATGGACCGAACCCAACAGTCGTCCAGGGCGCAGTTCCCTGGGTGCATCAGATCACACCTGCAGTCTAGATTGTAGCGATAAACTTAATGGATCAGCAGTCGTGCTGAGTTTGGATAACAAGTCGGGAAAGCTTTGCATTAGTATCGGGTCAGAAGAACAGTTCAGAGGGGGGGACCGACGAGGTAGAATTAAATCATGAATTATAACGGCCTAAAGAAACGGAGTAGAATGAGCCCAACTCCACTATAAAAGTAAATAAGCTATACAAGCACCGATGACTCTAAAAGTTCGTTGATTCCGACTGCGTTTCAATACCGTTTGGCCCGTGGGCCGCTGTATGCCTGAGGTTTAATAACGTCTCTTCTAAATAATAACACCTTATATAAAGGTGGAAGTTCTTTTAGAGCACCCCAGTCAGTAATATAGCCTGGGGGAGTTGCGGCCGGGACAATATCAATCAAACCTCGGCCTCCAAAGAGAATTTTACACACTTTATCTTATTTAGAATGCGACCGAGCACTGTGTTTTTCGACTATTTGGCTGTGGTAAATCAAAAGCAAGTCGATGGACAAAATGTGCCAATTCACTATCGCAAACTGCAATAGCCAAGATTTCCTTGCATACTGGGCCATCATCTCTTGCTCTCCTTCTCTTTCTTCAACATCAGGTCCCTCATAGCAGCTCTTGAATTGCGACTGCCACCCAATTTGGGGCCTTTGAGGACGTCTTCACTATCCTTCTTGGCGGTAGCAGCGGGCCTCTTTTTCTGTTGCCTCTCCGCCATTGCCTCCATAAACTCTCTCTTGAACTCTTCGGCAATACGATCATCTGCAGCACCGTCGTCATCCGCACCAGGTGTAGCCGCGGCTGGAGGTGTTGGTGTCTCGTACACATCGACTGTAGGAACATCAGCGCCCCGTTCAAGTCTCCTCCGTCAAGATTGGACTTACGTCTGTTTTCCCTCATGATTTCTTCGACGAGCTGGTCGCGTTTGATATCGTCGCTAGTTCTTCTGTTGCGAGGCCTCCATGGCTTACCATCGCGGCCTAGTCGAATTTTCTTGGGCCTGCCTGTTTGCTCGTCTTCGATGACCTCTCCTTGAAGCTTGCGCCTGGCAAGTTCCGTCAGGGCTTCGTTTCTGCTTCGAACCTCGTCGCCCAGATCAATTTCCTGCAATTTACTCTGAAGAGGTACGTGTTTCGAATTTTCTGATTTCTTGTCCGTCGTGGTGGTCGCAACCTCAGATGATGGGGCTGGCAAAGTGCTGCTGCCATGATCTGACGTAGCAGTTGACTTTCGTTTGGTTATTTCGGATTCTATGAATTCCATCCTTGCTCCATCAGCAGCTGTATAGTAGTGACGTTTTCACAGTAGGGGCGGGGACATACATGTGCTTATTGACCAAATCGCTGGACAGACCCGTCTGCGCAGTGAAGCGTCTGTTGACACCGCCGTTGGACAAATCCATCGCCTTTTGCTCTTCCTCGCGTATCATTAGGCTCAGTTCATCGTCAGCGTTGGCCACTGCCGCCGATGTATCGTCCGCGCCAAACCCGACGCCCTTTAATCGATGTTTTCGTGCATTTCGCTGCCTGATGATCTCTGCGACGGACAGGCCCTCTTCGTCTGTTTTGGGCGTTTCGTCGGTGGGTAGACTCTCTTGTTCCGTCTGTACCGCTGGCTCGTTCGTCTGGGTTGTTGGGGCGTCTTCGACTGGTTTCTGTCTAAATAACTTTCGCTTCTTTCCCCGAAACACGACTGTCGCTTCTGTTGCTGCTGCTGACGCCTCTGCTGGAGTGGTGGCAGGGGCGTCTGGATCCATGGCGGAGCTCTGGCAAGAGTCTCTTCTCAAAAACCAAAGCAATGTGACTTGCTGTAGGGAGGAGCTATGTGGCAGCTGCTGGTTGCAGTGACTCGACGATGTCCAGAGAGAAACCGGGTCAAAGCCGAGTCGTTGGCGCGACATTGATTTCTTTGCCATCAGCGCGGCGTTAACTGGCGTTGCTTCCTAGCACGGACCCACCACTAAAGATTCCCGCGCCGCGCCACACAACCCCAGATTTATAGTTGGGCAGCCCTGTAAACAGCCAGTCTTGCCGTAGCTAACATAAGCTGAACACCCACCACCAAGGCCAGCCCATCCTCCACTACCTACAGGTACAAGCAGCTCAGCCTCTAATAAATCATTCTATTGACAATGTCGCCTCAAAGAGTAAGTCTGGCTTACACAAGATTCAGAATATTAATTGACATAGTATCGAGATCTACTTTCTCGTCCACGGCACCGTCCAAGGTAAAAAGTGTTAAAAGTGCCGCCGATATGGAAATGTCTCGAGAACTGACAAGTGACGTCACAACTAGGTGTCAACTTTCGCTACTTTACGCAGAAGAAGGCCACAGAAGGCGGCGTGACTGGTTGGGTCCGAAACACTGATTCCGGAAAGGTACCAAACTCACCGTTTCTATGGTCAGAGATCAATCCAGCGATATCTGACAAATACTGTGATCCAGGTCGAAGGGGAAGCTCAAGGATCGCCAGATGCTATCAAGCAGTTCCTGAAGCACATTGATCAAGGCCCTTCCCATGCAAAAGTCGTGAAGCTCGACAAGGAAGAACGCGACGTGAAAGATGGCGAGAGCAACTTCGAGGTCCGGTCTTGAAAAGAGTTGCTACCTACCTACCTAGCCAGACGGCCAAGCGTTTATTCTAATGGCCAAGTCGATCACTATACAAGTTTGACCTTGCGATCCGGAAGATGCGGAAATTGAGGATAGGGAGCTCGCTTAAGTCTACTCAAATATACTAATTGTAGCTTATCCGTCAAAGACCGAAAACCTGTCGTCGTTCTACTTAGTCGTCTTGTCCTTGTATCATACACATTGCATTTGCCCCCGTATCTCGGATGTCGGTTCGGAAATCTAGTGAAGCAGCGCCCATGATTGGTCGTCAAGGTCTGTGAGTGTGAGGTACACTGCAACCATGGCTACTGCCAACGAATAAGCATAATGTCCCATATGATGCGGCTAACTTTCCGCTTTTCTACTTTTGATTACAGATCTGGATGCTACGGAGCCATGACGCCCCTGAATTTATTGGGGAGCAGGATGTACACTCCGACGACACGGCCTGGGCCGTCTGGGATAAATTGCGGTTCTCGCCGGAGACGCAGGGCCGCGATCCCTCTTGGTCCGGATTAGCGGCGGCAGATGAACTTCCACCCATCACAAATGGCAATACGACCCTTGAAATGGACATGTGGGGACGGACGTTTGTTCCCCAAATGTTTTCTCCAAGAGAGTAACTGAAGAAAGTTTACAGAGGGAACCAAAATGTGGTGTTCATGATTATGGATTTCGTCGCCTTATATAAAGCCTGCTGGCCGGACCAGCCTGGACGACAGAACAAGACTCCAATGACCAAGTGGTAATCTCTGCAAGATTCAAAAACGTCACAATGGCTCTCTTTGTCCCCGTTGGTCTCGCCCTCTTGGGTCTTGCCAATGCCCAGACGCCAGTCGGTACTGAAGTCCACCCACAACTCACAACCTATCGCTGTACAGTGGCCGGTGGGTGTACCGAAGCCACAAACTATGTTGTGCTCGACTCACTGGCACATTGGGTTCACCAAGTCAATAGCACCGTCGGCTGCGGAGACTGGGGCAATGCTCCCAATGCGACTGCGTGCCCTACCGAAGAGGCCTGCGCGGCCAACTGTATCCAAGAGGCCCAGACTGATTACAGCACCGTCGGCGTGACGACAGACGGCGCGTCGCTGCGCATGCAGATGATTGTGAACAATGCCTCGGTCTCTCCTCGCATCTACCTTCTCGATGAGACGGAGGAAAAGTACGAGATGACCAAGTTTACCGGTGCCGAGTTTTCCTTTGACATTGATGCCACCGCGCTCCCGTGTGGAATGAACAGTGCTCTGTATCTTTCCGAGATGGAGGACGATGGTGGTCTCAGTGAGCTGAACCAAGGAGGTGCCGCTCGTGGTACTGGATATTGCGATGCCCAGTGCTACACTACACCATTCATCAACGGTGTTGTATGTTTCGATCTTTATTTTCTGCTTGCAAGGTCTTCGAGGAATTGCAATGGCTAATACATCACTCAATAGGGCAACCTTGATGGTGCTGGTGCTTGCTGCAACGAAATGGATATCTGGGAGGCCAATGCTCGTGCAACCCAAATCGCACCGCACCCCTGCAACGAGTCCGGTGTCTACCTATGCTCCGGAACCGAATGCGCCTCAGAGGGCGTCTGTGACAAGAACGGCTGCGGCTGGAACACATACCGACTTGACCAAGCCGACTACTACGGCGAAGGGTCCGAATTCGACGTGGACACCACCAAGCCCTTTACCGTGGTGACGCAATTCCCCGTCGATGAGACCACGGGCAAGCTGGCCGCCATTAACCGACTATACGTCCAGGATGGCGTTGTCCTCAAGGCCGAGACGGTTGCCAAGGAAGGCCTACCCGCCGTCGACTCCATCACGGACGAGTACTGCACCGCCAGCGGCGCCAGCGCCTTTGACCGGCTCGGCGCCCTCGAGGCCATGGGCGATGCCATGACCCGCGGCATGGTCATGGCCTTTAGCATCTGGTGGTCGACGGATGGGTCCATGGTCTGGCTCGACGGTGCCTCGCAAGGCGCCGGCCCTTGCACCGACTCTGAAGACCTGCCCGAGAATATCCTTGCCGTGGAGCCCGAGCCCGAGGTCACATTCAGCAACCTGAAGTGGGGTGAGATTGGCAGCACCTTTGCCGCGGCGACCAATGCGACTTCGCGTATTCGCTTTGCTAGGAACCTTACCAAGAGGCACTGGTGAGCGTTGGATAGGCCGGGTTGCTGTCTATGCATCAGTTGAGCATAGCTAATAGACACTTGCATTGTTCTCAATAAACTTCATCATGACGAATTCATGTCCTAAAGGTAGCTCTCGGCTGAAATGCGAGTGTGCTTGAGGATTACAATGTCCTGTTGATGGGCGAGAAGTCACCTCTCTCGTCTCAATATCATGCAAAGTATTACTCGTTACACCAACATCCATAGCAAGGGAGAATATCCTGATTTCGACTTTTCCTGACGAAAGTACCGGACATTTTTGCCCCCCATTGGCTTTCACAGTCTCGCCCCCGACTGCCTTGGCTTTGGCGTCTGATCAGTCTCACGCGAAGATCAATGTACGTGGCGCTGGTTCTCACTCAGCATCATCTCGTCGCCTGTTGAGCGTATTGACAAATGTCATTGGAGATGGATGATAGCACACTGCTTCTATGTCAGCGGGCAATCATTGTTACGCGATGGCTGGAAAATGCTCGAGTTCCAATGTTTTGGATGGCGTCAGGTCAAAAGAAATACATGCCGCTCTTCATGAGCCGAAGTGTTTTTGGATTTGTCATGTGCTATCCAGTTCTGAAGAGTGTAGAAATGTGACATGAGCTGAACGGTGAAAATATTGCCCAACATCCCGCGCTGAGTATGACACAAGCCCATTGCATGGAACTCTGGCTTCAAGCACATCGCGTTTTCTTTCCCGACAAGAGTCGCTTCATTTAACTATATCTTATGTCCGGTGATTTTGACTATCGGAACAGATAATACCAGAACATGCAACGCCGGAGATGAGCACGCACCGATCCTCCCTAGTCCAGCAAGAGAAGGGCAAAGAACATGTAAGTCCAGGTATTCACTGAATGCGCCGTCGCGTTTTTGTGGTACCTTGGAATGATCTAGAAGAATCACTGGTATTCTTGATGCTACCTTAGTCTTTATGCACCCATTGAAATAAATTTGCTGGATGCAAAACAAATTTGCCTGCTGTACATGATGTTGCAAATGCGCAATGCAGACATGAAAATGCTGACGTACAGGCGGGTGCGGGGTCCCAGGTGCAGTGACTAGCCCACTGTAGGGAAAGCCTATAGCGTATGGCTGTTCGCCATGGCATGCTGCAAGACCGACAAAGATGCTAGAATCGTCTTTGCAAACCTCGAGACTCACGATAATTGTCAATCAAAACGTGGGGGGCTCCTTAGTAATCGATTTCATGGCCAAAAATGTGCCATCGCAGTCAAGTTGGACTGCTATGAATGATGTGGTGATGACAAAGTGGAGCGAGTGTGCGCTGTATGTAAGCGGGCGCTTCTTTTGCGTCATCGTAAAACGTTGAATGGGTAAATGATTACCCTCGTGTTAGCTCTCGTATATACGAGGGAAACAACGACCGTTTGCGACTTGTCTACTATATATCCTCGCTGTGATCCTATCCAGACTCTGCTTTTTTCGCATCAACAAATAAAATACAAAATCATATTCAAGACAAAACGAGATCATTGAAATCGCAAACCTTGAAAATGGCAGTCAAGATCTTCATGTGAGTTCTCATATTCCCCACACATAAGTTGAGCGACGAGACTAAGTCGCCCACAGCACCGGCGTCACGGGCTACATTGGCGGAGACATTCTGTACGCCCTCAACCAGGCGCATCCGGACTGGGAATACTCGGCCCTGATTCGCTCCGAGGAAAAGGCAAAGCAGGTGCAGGCGAAATATCCCAAAGTCAAGCCGGTAATTGGAGGCCTTGATGATTCCGACATCATCAAGAAGGCAGCTTCTCAAGCAGACATTGTTATCCGTGAGTTGGCCCCCTTGGATTTTGGTTAATCCTACATATTTGAGTTGTTGGCGGCTTACTGACCACTTCATATCAGACACCGCAGATGCCTCGGACCACGAGGGTGCTGCCCGCGCAATCGCCGCCGGACTAGCAGAGGGCCACTCGGCATCCAAGCCGGGCTTCTGGCTGCACACGAGCGGCACGGGCATCCTGACGTTTGCCGACCAGCTGTCTGGCCGTCTCGGCGAGCCGGACGACAAGGTCTTCAACGACTGGGCCGGCGTCGAGGAGCTCACCAACCTGCCCGACGAGGCCTTCCACCGCGACATTGACAAGATCGTGCTCGAGGCGAGCTCGCCCTCGGTGCGCACCGCCGTCGTCTGCCCGCCCACCATTTACGGCGAGGGCCGCGGACCCGTCTCCGGTCGCAGTCGCCAGGCCTACACGCTGGCCAAGATGATCCTGACCCGGGGCGTCACGCCCATCATTGGCGGGGGCAAGGCCCGCTGGAACAGCGTCCACGTGCACGACCTTTCAGACGCGTACGTGCTGCTCGCCGAGGCCGCCGCCGCCGGCAACCTGTCCGACGAGCTTTGGAATGCCCGTGGCTATTTCCTAGCCGAGAATGGCGAGTTCATCTGGGGCGACTACTCGCGGCTCATGGCCAAAAAGGCGTACGAGCTTGGCTTTCTGAAGGAGGTGCCCCAGGAGCAGCCGCTCAGCAAGGACGAGGCGGTCGAGTTTGGAGGGTTCGAGGCCGTCAGCTGGGGTCTCAACTCGCGTGGCAAGGCCGAGAGGCTCTCCAAGACGTTGGGCTGGAAGCCGCACCGTCCGAGCATTGAGGAGGAGATCCCAACGATTCTGAAGAGCGAGAAGGCTTTGTTGGAAAAGAACTAGTGGTTTATACTGAATGAATAAATGAGTCTTTCCGATGGTCCTTTCAAGACGCAAATTGATAAGATTACCATTGAGCAGCAGTGTATAAAGGCATCGTGACCATCTTAACTCGCCAAACGAGTTGAGCGCCAGATATTTCAAGCCCGACACCATGTCACGCGTTCCAATTTTTCCGCATTGTATCAATAAACCACGATGTCGACCATCCAGTCTTATCCTCAATATTTTTCAACAAGCTAGATACTGCCGCTTGGTCCTGCAGCGTGGAGAACACCTGTCCGGCCACGAATAGCGGTTGAATAGCATGGACCAGAACAGACTCTGAGCGCTCCTGACCCACGATACCGCATACGTCTCGGGCGTGTCGATTGGTGCGCTGCATGTCCTGCTGATAGTGGCGCAACCGTGCCGAGACCGAGGACCGAATTGCCGTCGACTCCATTGGACGATTTGCGTAGAGCAGTATGCTGGCCATGTGAAAGGACAGCATTGTGGCAGCGCAAATCGGAGTCTCGTAGTAAATCTTGGGAAAACCATGCTGTCGCTCATGTGCCGAATCTGGCAACGAGTCCTCCATAGTATCAGCCGTAGTATGAGATGTAGAAGAACAAGATTGTGGAAGGTTTCCATGCCATTTTTCGAGCTCAGTCCTAATGTTGTGCCAATGTTGTGACAGTATATCTTGTGCAACCGCCAACGTAACGCGCTGGCCCTCGGGCAAGGCATAGTCTCGTGGATAGACCGCGTCTCCAGCCGTGACGAAATTGATTACTTTGCTGAGGATGCAAATCAAGTCTTTGGCAATGGCCTCTTCTGGCACGACATCATCTGCCGGACTCTGTGGGGCGAGAGAGTCGAGACACATTGCAAGTGGTGCTTGGCTATTGTCTGAAGCTAGTCCTGCATTTTGCCAAAGTTGAAGATCCTCAATCTTCATGCGAGTCTGCGTCTCGCTGATACCTATCACCGCATCTCATCAGCTGGAGGCAATAAAAATAGAACATGGCCCAGGCGAAACTCACAGGCACAGAGGATATCCTGCCTTGCAAGACTCCAGAAAATTGATGGCTGGATGGTCATTCGCGGAGCAACACACTGCGACTATCAGTGAGGGCAAATTGCCATTTTTGGTAATTTTGGCCCCCAAAATGGATATCTCAGGAGGGAAACCCTCTCCCGGAGGAGGGCCGATAAGGGCCGTAAGGGCATTCTGGAGGGCAACCTGGAGGGACCCCCTGATTCTGGAGGGTGTTTTAAAGGCGTCGAAAGGGATGGTCTCTTTAAGCGCTATAAAAACGGGTATTTAGTACTATTATATAGCGTTAAAAAGGGTATTTAGAATTAATACGAATAAATATAGCTTTAAATTTATTTATTTATATAATTATAATATTTATTAAATATAATAGATTAAAAATTAAAATTTAAGCCTAATTTATTTAAGCGATTTATTTTTATTTTGCGGCGTTATTTTTTTTTTAATTATAGCGGGCTAAAGGCGTATTAATTAATTATAGTAATCGGTACCCGCCGTAAAATAGAATTAAGCGCATAATATAAAATTTTTTAAATATAGCGTAATCGTATTTTATAAATCGCACCTTAAAATTTAATAAAATGCGAAAATAGCTATAAAAAAATAATAAATAAATAATATTATTTATTAAATAAATAATTTAATATTTAACTATTATTATCGTTATTATAACGTTAATAGGCTAAATTAGCGTTTACCGCGATTATTACCTAAATATTAATTAAAACAAACCTTTTTTTTAACGTATAATTAGGCCTAGCCAGCTAGATTATGCGTTTTTAAAAAAGCTTTTTTTACTTAGTTAATATTATATTTAAAATATATTATTATATATTTAGGCATATTTTTATTTATTATTACTAAAAAGCCTAGCTAACTTATTAATATATAAAATAAAATATAAAATTAAATTAATTTAAATTAATTATTGCCGATAATTACCCGGGCCGCGAATTAGGCCCGGGAAATAAATTAAAATTAATTTTATAATATTATAATTATAAACCTATATAAAAAGCCAATATAAGCAGGCCATTTATATAAAATATATAATTATAAACCCCGTTTATATTAATATATTTTCGAATACTAAAAGTATATAATTAAGCGCTTTTATTCGACGCCTAAAAAATAAATACTAAATATTTAATTAACGTCGCCTAAAAAATAAAATAACGATACCGACCTTTAGGTAAAAAAAATTAAAGATTATTATAAAAAAACCCGCGATATTTATTTATAATAAAATAATTTAAATTTTTTTATTAATTTTTTACTATAATTTCCTTTAATTTTAGCGATATACCGATACTTAATATTTAAATTATAGCAGCTAATTATAGCCTTTTTTAATGTAGCGAAGGGACTAAATCTAGATAACTTTTTAGTAAATTGCAACCCGCTATTCGTTCCTTTTAATTAACCTCTTTTTAGGAATACCGCAAAAGCCTCGAATTCGTAGCAAAGTTAAAAAAAAAAAGGCAGGAGAGTAAAGCTGCCGCCGCTTAACGGATAAATAAATTATACCGTTTAAAATTTAAAAGGAAAACCGCTAAAATTATAAAAAGCTAAAAAAAAAAAATCGGAAAAAAAACGCGCAGCCGCTAATAAAAGCGAGCTAAAAAGTAAATCGGCGATTTACGAATAAAAACGATTTTTAATTAGAACCCGCAAAAAAAAAGGCTAAAAAAAGCAAAACTATTACCGGATTTAAGGACTCTAAAAACGCCGCCGATTTTTCGTTTATAATTAAGCCTTAAAATAAGCTATATACGCTTTTTTATTAAATTAAGGAATAGCTGCAAAATCCGGATATGCCGCTATATTAAAAAAATATTATCGAGCTTAAAAAGCTTTTTAAAAAAACCGAACGGAAAATATATATTATTTATAAAAAAATCGCGTCCGCGGCCGAAAAGCTACGGCAAATTAAGGCTAACGCTATAAAAATCGAAAAAGTATTAACGACCTATTAAAACCTCCGCAAATAATAATACGCAAATTTGCTCCGCTATTTTCCCGCTAGACTATTATATAAAAAGCTAAAAAAATAAATATTAGCCGCTGCGCGGTATATATTATATTATATACGAAAAATAAAAATAAGCTTAATTATTACGTAATTAGTTTTTTATTAAAAATTAATTTAAATAGCTAAAATAAATTAATTTAGATAAATTTAGCTAATCCGAGCTTAATAAAAAATAAAAGCAGTAATATTAGCAAGGACTTATAAATAACCTTCCGGATCGACCTGCGATTATATATATAAAGCAAATAGATTATATGCTTATATAGATTTTAGGTTTATTTTCCTTTTATTATATATATAAATATATATTTTTTTAATATAAATTACTATTCGGCTATTTCTAAGGCCCTAAAATCCGGCCCGGGAAATCCGATTATTCCGTTCTTATTTTACCTAATAAATCTTAACGCTAAAATTAATATTTTTTATTATATTTATTTTAATAGCTATATATAATTTTTTATTTAAAAAAAATAAAGGAAGCTTTACGCTTTAAATAATAAATATAGCTTAATATTACCTAAATATTATATAAACTAAAATTTACCTCCCGTTTATATATATAGCTTAATTAAATTAAAATTTTTTTTTATTATCGCTATAATTTAAAAGAGTTTCGCTTTTTATTTTATTTTCCGCTTTAAAACTATATACCGATCGGATAATTTCTAATTATACGTTTCCGGACCTTAGTAGTAATATATTTCGGTCCGCCTTGGTTCGTGGTTTTTTTATATACCTATCCCTCCGTTATATTATATTATAAATTATATTTTCGTCCTATACCTTTTTTAATTATAACTAAAAACCTTTTCGAACGCTAATTATTATATATTTTTTTTCGTCTTATTTTAATAGAGGCTTTTAGGATTGTATTATATTTTATAGCCGCTTTTTATTTTAAATATTTTTCGGTTTTATTTATTATTAGCTAACGGCTTTTAAATAATATTTTTTAGCGTTTTTAACCTAAATAATTTACCGTTTATTCGTTATTTTTTAAAATAGCTTATTTTAACGGGCCTAACCTAATAGAAATTTCCGATAAAGCTAAAATCGGCTATTTTATAATTATTATTAATATTATTATATTAGCTAGCTAAAACGGGATTTTAAAAATATATATACCGGTCGATTTAATATTAGCTAAAAAGTATTTTTATACCGAGCTAAAATTATTCCGGCTATATATCGTTTATAACCCGGCCGATATTATAATATTAAACCTTATAATTCGCCGATTTTAATTTTATTAATAAATACCCGAAATTAAAGCGCTACGGTTTTACGTTTAAGATTATTATAAAAAGTTTTATAATTATTATTTTAATAAATTTTAGCTTATTAAAAAAAATATTATTATGCTTCGCTTTATTTTATTATTTTTATTAAATACGGAAAAATAATATTTTATATACCTAAAAAATAATCCCGTTAAAAGCAAAATTTTTATGCTTTTTTATTAATATAAATTTTTAAAGCGTTACGTTTAAAAATAGCTTCGGGATTTTAAAAATTACCCGTTATACCGGCATAATATTTTATTGCTTTATTACGGATTTAATATCCCGTTTACGTACCGCACGGTTAATAATATAGCATATATTAGCGATACCGTAAAATATATAATAAAAAAATAACTGCTTTTAGCGGCGGCGCAGCGTATTATACGCGAGGTCTGCTTTATATATAATAAATTCCGTAAAGCAAAAAATATTTATAATAAATATAAAAAACGAATAAATATACTAAAATAAGGTTTTATGCTATTATAGCTATTAACCGATTTATTAATTTTTTTTAAAAAAGCTAAAAAACGATTAAAATTAATTATCGTAAAATTAATAAGCGCGGTAAAAATTATATAAAAAGCAAAAGTAAACGTAAAGCGATTTGCTAAATTTTACGAATTATACTAATAATAAGACTAATTAGCCTGCGATAAGCTCGCTAAGTATTACGGATATAAATAATATTTATACGAAAAATAATTAATATAGCGTAATTTATTAAATATTTTTAATATTTTAGCTTAATATATTTTAAAGGTTTAGGTTATTGTTATCGTTATCGTTATCGTTATCGCCGGCCTTTATTATATTAGAAAATAGCACCGGGATATTATTATTATAATTATTGCCGTTATAATCCTTTTTTTTTTTTTTTTTTTTTATTATTTACGATTATTATTTTTCGGTTGTCCTCCGCTTTTTTTATTATAATTAATAGCCGTAAATTTTATTACGCTTTTTATAAAAAATTATCCCATTATACGGCCGTTATAATACGCAATTATTTTAGCCGTTCCGTATTTATCGGACGGATAAATACGGAAGCTTTTTAATTTAAAAAGGATTTTGCCTCGTAAGCCTGCGGCTTTAAATTTTTATCGCTATTATTTTTAGGTATTATTTTTTTTATTAGCTAAATCGCCCGGTTTATTTTTATTTACGATATATATTATTAGAATATTTTACCCGGTTACCGTTATAAGTATAATCGGCGTATTTTTTTTTATTTATATAAACGTTTTATAGGTTTTTTTTTTAGCGTAGCGAAAATATTTTTATTCCGAAAAAGTAATAAAAATTTATAATAGCGCTATTTTTAGGTTTTTATTATTAAACGGAACCGAACGGAGGAGGTTAAAATCTTTTTTATAGCTAATATAGTTTTTTTTATATTTTAGCGGTTTTTAAACCGGCTTATTTAGCAATTAAATTAATAATATCGCCGTCGGTAATTTATTTAAAATAAAATATTTATTTCGGATAAATTTATATTAATACTATACGGCTTTTTACGTAATATAATATTTTATATATTATTAGCTATATATATTTTTTATATACCGTTATATTTATTTTAT